CTGTGGGGGTATGCGTAAGACTAGGGGCATGCTGGTCTGTGGGGGTATGCGTAAGACTATGGGTATGCTGGTCTGTGGGGGTATGCTGACCTGACAGAACACCGGATGGACCCCGGGCGGCGTGAGCCTCCTGGGGCCGGTCGGTCACGGTTCTGCTGTGTCTCCCGCTGTGCTGCAGGGCTCCTACGCGGGCTTCGTCTACACCTACGCCGTGTCCCCGCCCCTGCTCATGAGCCACAAGGCTGCCGGATCCCTGGACAGCATCTTCTGGGCCTCCATCACAGCGGGAAGGCTGGCCTTCATCTACCTCTCCTACAGATACGCAGCCCCCCTGCTGCTCACCGTCAGCCTGGTATGAGCACGCATTTACCCCAGAAAACACCAGAGCCATGAGAGCAGCCACAGGTTTAACGTTTGGACTGTTGGGAATGTTAATACTGGGATTGGGTTGCAAAGCATGTGTAAAATAAGAAAAAAAAAGAAAGTAAAAGGCTTTATGTCTTACAAAACATTTAAAAACACAATAATATGGCCCTAACCAGGTCAGAACTCTAGATGAAAAATTAAAAAGAAATGATAAAATACATTTTATGAATTTATTTAAATGTAATTAAGAAATTCAATAAATAACACCCTGTCAATATTTCATAAAGTGCAACAGAGGAAGTGGGTCAGGGGCTGCGGATCAACCTGAACTTGATGAATTGATCGTAAGCCGGTTTGAGCGCCTCAGAAAAAGTAGGAAGTAGGATTCAGGCGTGTGTTAACATGAGCAATGATGTTGAGGAAGTAATTGTGGCTGCCAATCAACCTGGCATGGGTTCAAAGTCATATCCACACTATTCGGATGTCATCATTCTACAGAGAGAAATGTCATTGGATAAGATTAATTCATTCATTCATTCTGCCCAGGAATGGATGTCTCCATAACAATTTTCAAAGAAATGAAAAAAACAACAACAATCCAAGACCAAAGTCTAGTACTCCACAGGTCTCTGGTGGTGTGTTAAATGCTAAAGTTAATCAAATTTAGGAAAAGACAGACCAGGTATGGCTTGTTTGGAAGGGTCACAGGGGAGAGCAGGGAGAGCATATATACGGCAACACAAACCACAACAAACCACAACAGACCACAACAAACCACAACAAACCACAACAGACCACAACAGACCACAACAAACCACAACAGACCACAACAGACCACAACAGACCACAACAGACCACAACAACCCACAACAAACCACAACAAACCACAACAGACCACAAAACCTTTGGAACAATGCATTTTGGACAAAAACGGAATTAAATAACTTTTAGATCTACCTAGATTTCTCATTTAAATCCAACATATTCTTTCCTGTTTCCTTTTCTGTAGGTCACATAAAGAATATTGGACTTATCAGACTCGTTAAAATGGGCAAGAGCCACGGTTCCTCTTCACAACATTAATTTAAAAAAAAAAAAATGTATACCTCTTTCACTGCCAAATTGACTTAAATTTTCCGCTGTCACATTTTTGGTGATAACTGAAAATAAGTCCGGTTTTGGACCTCCACAGATCAGTGACGTTGCGTGTTAGCTTTAGTAATTGTAAATATCCTGTAGGAGTGAGTGTGGTTGTCAGTATAAGAGACGGATGGATGGACAAAATAATCATTGTGTAGAGGCTGGAATTTTAAAGGTCTCTGGTTTGATTTGGGGTTTTGGCAAATGTTTTACTAAAACATGATTTCTTAGAATTGTTAACATTTACATTTGATTTATTTGTCTAAATAAAACATCAACATGCAGTTAATGCCTCTACTTGGAACTGTCCAGTGCAAACGGACCGGGTTGTGTGTCTGTTGGGTGCTGGATCCCGGCCTTAAAGCCCCCCCCGTGCTGCTGTGTGTGTGTGTGTGTGTGTGTGCAGGCGGGGGTGATTCTGGTGCAGTGCCTGTTGTTGGTCTGCTACGCCAGCTGTGCGTTTCTCTTCGTGGGCACGTGCGTGCTGGGGCTGTGCATCAGCAGCGTGCTGCCCTCCATGCTGGCCTTCTCTGAGGACATGTTCCACTACCACGGTAACAAAACAAACAATCAACACGTGTATGCGCACACCCTGATTATTACTGTGTAGACTCCAACATCTACATTTTAATAGAAACCTTTGGGATATCAATTAATATAAAGAAGATCAATAAACAGGAATAATTATGTTCAGTTCTTTCTTTATTTCAACTAAATCTGTCTGTTTTTCTGGTTTAGGGGAGATTTTTTTTTAGATTTGCCAGTGTCCATGTTAATTAAATGAGTGTTGTGGACTGGAGCCAGAGGAGAGGGGTTGGAACAGATTTTTAAGTGTTCGCTTTTGTATTGTTTTTTTTGCCACTGAACTTTTAAATGTTTTATCTACCAAAAAAAAGAAGTTAAATTACAAAAAAAAAGTTTAAAAATGTAATTTATCTTTTATTCTAGTTACTTTTTTGGCCAGTTCTGTTCAACTTCAGAGATTCAGACACCACAAGTTAATTATCCTCTAAAGCTGGAGAATTGTTCTTTGTGTGCGTGTGTGTGTGTGTGTGTGTGTTGCAGGTTGTGCAACAGCAGTCCTGGTAACGAGTGCCAGCACAGGAGAGATGATGCTGCAGCTGCTTGTTGGATCAGTAAGAAACGTCTCCACATTCACTAACAAACACCCTCATCCACCAGTCTTTTGTTTGGTTTTTCAAATTAAAAGACGTGTATATTAGGAGGTCAGCCACGGCCTGGTCATTGTGAATCGGGACCTTAGACTCCTTAGACCTTAGCTCCACCAGGCAAACGCTGACTCCAGCTGTGAGTGTGTGTGGAACTGGGCAGCTGTGAGTGTGTGTGGGCAGCTGTGAGTGTGTGTGGGCAGCTGTGAGTGTGTGTGGGCAGCTGTGTGGAGCACCTGGCTAATGGCAGGACGCGTGTGGCCTCCTGCAGGTCATCCACAGCCGGGGCAGCTACTCCTTCCTGCTGTGCTCCGCCGTGGCGTCCTTCATCGGCCTGGGCCTGTTCCTGCTGCTGCTCTACGTCCACCGCCTCCACACTGCGCCTAACGTCCAGCCGCTGCCCAGCCCGTCTGGACGTAATAAAGAGTGAAGACCATCATGGAAGTGCTTGCCTTGATTGCGGCCGGTGTTGTGTCAGGTCAGCATACCCCCACAGACCAGCATACCCATAGTCCTACGCATACCCCCACAGACCAGCATACCCATAGTC